GCTGCCAGGCCCCACCCTTACTTGTTCCTTCCTCCTGCCTGTGACCCTGGAAGAGCTGCCCCTCCCCCACCCAAGGATGGTCCTCCTCCTTCCCCCCAGGGAGCCCACCTGCCTCTGTCCAGCTCCAGCTCTACTGGCTTCTTCTGCATTCCATTTAGATGTGTTTCATCCTCGCCACGTGAGAAAATCAACAAAACAAAACTACCAGATCTGTGTTTGCTCTTCCCCATCATGCTTTTCTCCCTGGTTCTGAGGACGGATCTTTGAAAGAAGGGGCTACATTTACTGCCTCCACTTCTTTGCCTCTCACTTATTTTTTGTGTGTGTGCATTGAGACCTGCTTTTTATCCCCACCAATCTGTAAAGTTGATTGTCCATATTTGTGATTATAATGATAATATAACGCTTCCATGCATGGTGCCAGGTGTATGTGTGTTTGTCATAAAAAATGGTAAACACAGGCATGCGGACACGTACTGAATTCCCAAACAACCCTGGGGGCAGGTACTATTATTGACCCTGTCTTACAGAAGGGGAAGCTGAGGCCTCACGCTGCAGGTGGTGAGGCAGCAGGCACACCAGAGACTCTGTTCTCGTTTGCATTCCGCTTCTGCTTTCAGTGCTCTGTGGCTGAACTCAGGGGAGGTGACTCAGTTCTCGCCTCTCACCAGCTCTCGGCTGATTTGTCTGAACTGGTCCCTGTCTTCTGCTCAGGCTCTTCCCTTGGTTTCTGTGGGAAACGAGCACATGGCGCCTCCTCTGCCAGCCACAGTCCCCGTGGGGCCTTCCCCCTCCGCGGGGCTGGCCTGGGGTCCTGACTGGCCTCTCTTCTGGGGCCTCTGCTCTACTCCTGGCTGCTCTCCAGACGGGCTCTTCCGCCATCCATTCTCTCCTGCAGCCAGAGTGATCCTCCTAGTGTAAAACTGTTCTTAGAGCCCAGAGCTCCCTTTAGGATGAGGCCCAAGTCCTTGGCGTGGGTCTGAGGTGTCCCCAGCTCCTGGTCCTGCACCATTCCCCTCCTTCCCGCAGGCCTTCAGCATCTGCCCCTGCCTGGACCACAGCCTCTCCCTGCCCTTCCCCGCTTCCCGTGACACGCCATCCAGCTGTCAGCTCATGCGCAGACTCCCCTAGAATCCTCTTACGGCACAGCAGAGATTGGGGTGCCCCTTTACACCCACAGCCTCCAGGTACTCATAGCCCCTGGACTGGTGCTTGCCCTACTGCGGTCCACACCTGCTGCTCGACCTCAGAAGTGTGTACACAGGCCACGCGGGCCAGTCCGAGGCATCCGGAGACAGAGCGCAGCCCGCACGCAGGGCGCGCACGGCCCTTCTTCCTTAGGTGAACAGAGGCACCGTCCCGCAGAACCTTCCGCAGCGGAGGGCGCTCATGGTGATGCCGCTGGCCGATGTCCGCGGGCCTCTGGCTTTCAGAGCCTGTTTCTCTGTGTCTTTCATCTGACGCCTGCCACAGGACTCCCGGGTCCATTTCCTCAGAACCTTTTGCGCATCAGCTGTGGGAGGGACTGGATCCTGGCTTGTCTCCTGCCTGGTTGTGTTTTTTCTACAGACGAGGAACCGGAGTCTGCTCCGGGCCTGAGCCAAGACTGGACTCCGCACCAGTACGGGCCCACACCCTCCAGTCCCCGCCCCCCAAAACTGTGCCTGGAATTTGTTCTCCGTAGACAGCACAACACTGAGACTCAGGGCTCCATGGAAGACACTTTCCCCTCATAACTTGGACACCCACCTTTGTGGCTTCGGGGTCTGAAGCCCAGTCGGCAGGCAGAGCCATCTCTCTCCCCGGGCCCCCTGCGTTGCCTCCCCCTGCCTGCCGGCGCCCACCTGGCCCCACAGCCTGTCAGTCCAGAGGTGCCTGGGCATCTGTGGAGGACCTCGGCTCCTGCTGCCGCCCATGTGTCCTTCGTGGCTCTGTACCCGTTGTGATCAATATGCAATATTAAAGGGACAAGAAACACCTGTGGGCCCCTGGGGACTGATTTTGGTTTCCGAGAACACCGTGCTTCTGGGGATTCACAGGACAAGTGGTGAGAAAGGAAAACATCTGGCTCCTCAGGGGTCGAGGTGGGAGGGAGGTTGCTGCCCTGAACAAGCCGAGATCTGCAAAGAGGTGGACAGCCGAGGTGTGAGCCAGAACATCAGGCGGGGAGGAAGAGGCAGAGGCCCTGGAAGGTGGGGACACGCTTCCAGACAGGGATGGGGGACTGACCGCCCAAGGCTCACCGGTGACAGACAGGGACACCGGCTGGCTGCGCTGGACACCCAAGCTGTTGTCCGCGGTGCAGGAGTAGGTCCCAGAGTGCTCTGCAGTCAGAAAGATGTGGAAGGTCACCATCCCCCCAAAAGTGGCCTTCTTCTTCCTGAGAACTACTTCTTCATGAAGGAACTGGTACACGATGGGGTAAGAGCCTGTCTTGGCTTCACAGGAAAGCGTCAGCAAATCTCCCTCAACAGCTTGGGCCCCAGGAGTGCTGAGGGTGAGGACAGGACGAGACACGGGGACTGAGGGAGAGAAACATCAGTCAGCAGGTGCTCCTGCGCATTTCCATTACTGGTCAGTCTCAGCCCCTGCCCTCCAGGAAAGGCTGGCCTTTCCCTCCCCCCACACCCGCGGCCCCTTCTCCCCACCCGCGCCCCTTGTTAGGTGACCTCAGTCTGGTTTCCCAGTGTAAATGACGCTCTTGGGGAAGAAGTTCCTTATTTTGCGGCTGCCAGGCCCCACCCTTACTTGTTCCTTCCTCCTGCCTGTGACCCTGGAAGAGCTGCCCCTCCCCCACCCAAGTCAAGAAGTCTTCCTCTCTGTTCCTGTTTTCCACTTCTCCGCTCACTGGGGCTGGACTCAGGGATCCCTTCACCCTTCTTCCTTCCAGATTCACACACTCTTCCAGGACCCTCTTGTCTGTTCCTACACTCTCCCTGCACCCAGCCTGACCCCCTCTGTTTCCAGATGAGAGAATGCAGGAAGAAGCTCAGAGACTAGTTGGCAGCCACTCGGCAGGCTGTTTCCAGAGCCAGCCAGGACCTTGATTTGTCTCCTTCCTGAGTCCTGGTCCTAGTGCTGAATCCCATGTCTTCTTGGGAGTGGGCTGGCATTGGCCCTGAGTGCAGGGACGCCTCTGTAGAAGCTGTGACCTTTCACGGCCACAACTGTCCTAATGGCCTTGAGTGCACTGGTGAAGGAGAGATGGGGTCTGCAGTTCTCTGCACCCCTGGCCACATCTTTGGAGTAACCATGATGCCACTACCCATCTCTGTATCCCATCAGGGGGCGCATATTGGTTATTGTCAACAATTAACTGATAATTGGGAAACAGACACCTCCGTATCCCTGGGGGAGACAGAGGGAGACAGATAGGGAGGGGGGGAAGGAGAGAGAGAGAAAAGGAGAGGGAGAGAGAGGGAGAGGGAGAGATGCTGCAGACACACTGAGCGATGTGATGGTCCCGGGCTGGATAAAGCATGAGGCCCACAAAAGACAGACACATGTTCAAAGATCTGGGAGCCGGTTGAGATGTCAAGATGTGTTATCAGCTGAACTCTATTCCCTGGAAGTGCATATGTTGAAGCCCAAACCCCCAGTGTGGCTTATTTGGAGATGGGGTCTTTGAGGGGATCATGAAGGCTAAAGGGGCCCTAATCAGATAAGACTGGAATCCTCGGAGAGGAGGAAGAGATAGAAGAACGAGGCTAGATAAGGACACAGTGGGAAGGTGGCCACCTGCAGGACAGACGGGCTGTCCATAGACACCAATCTGCTGGCACCTTGATCTTGGACTCGTAACCCCCAGAACTCTGAGAGAATACACTTCTGTTGTGTAAGCATGCAGCCTGTGGTGTTTAGGTCAGGCAGCTGAGCAGACGAGTGCAGACGACTTGGGGAAGAAGCAGGAAGCGGGTGAGGGGAGAGGTGGGTTGGGTGGCAGGAAGAGGACTAGGACCAGGAGTGGCGGGGCCTTTATTCACTGATTGATGGGACAATCGAGGGGGGCTGTGCGGCTCTGCCCGGCTCTTCCCAGCACATCTGAGCACCTGCCTACACTTACTCTGCACAGGTATCTGGAATTTCTGGCTCCGTTTGTAGACACTGGGAGTCCCTGCCCGTGCCTCACACCAGTAATACGGTGGGTCTTCGTTCCCCACGATGGAGGGGATGGAGATTTTCAGAAAGCTCTTCGAGCTTGACCCCAAGATGTGGCCATCTCTGAAGAAGTGGAATGAGAGTTGGATGTCTGACTTCTGAGGGGAGAGCTGGGTCTCACAGGTCAGGATCACTGGGTTCCCGGGGGTGGCCAAGGAGGGGTTGGCCCTCAGCACGGGACGTGGAAACAGCTCTAGAAAGAAGAATCACAACAGGCCCCAGAGCAGTGAGGCCTGGAGCTACTCTGGAGAGAAGTACAGCTCTTCTGCAGTTGCCGTGAGAAGAGCGGGCAAAGAAGGGTTCACTTACGAGCCCAACACTCTTCAGCTCAAAGCACTCTCGCTCTTTCTCTGATTATTGCAGGAATGAGCCCTGGGGTTCGATGATATCCCGGCCCACCATTCTCTCCCTCAGCCACCTCAGGGATCTTCCTTCCCATGAACCCTTCTCACAAATAATGAAGGGTTTACCTTGGACTTGGATTTTGATTGTGTTTGAAGAAACAGAGCAACAATGGGTCTCAGATTCAGTACAGTGATATTCTCCATTATCCTTCAACCCTGCGTGTTCAATGTGGAAGTTGGAGTTTTCATCAAGGTCTATCAGCACATGGTAATTCTTATACAGGGTCCTGGTCTTCCAGGCTGTGTCTACCCTTTCTACCTTTGCTCGGCACATCAGAGTCACAGAGTCACCTTCAAACACGGAATGGGGAGCCTGCAGGATCAGTTTAGCTGCAAGAAATGCAAGGCGGTCATTTGGTCCCCTCCACTGATTCTCCCTTCTTGTCCTTAGTATATTGAACAGATTTTATAGGATAAGGGATGGGGGAAAATGCATAAAATAATTACAATTCCTTTTTTTCTGATTTTAAAATGAACACATATGCCCTGAGAAAACTTAGAAAACAGAAAGGTGAGTAAAAATCTCTTCTTCTCAGGCGTGCACTTTTCTGGTGCTCTTTTCCATTTGCAAGTTCATGAGAGTCTGTGTGTACTGTGTTCTCTTTATGAAATCAGAGTAGTATGTATATATTTGATAACTTGCTCTTTCACTTACTGTGCTATGAACACTTTTCTTTGCCACCAATATTGTTAGTGAACCTGACTTCTAATGGCCTCCAAGTTTTCCTTCAATGTGACATGATATAATTTACTTAGTGAGTTTCCTTTCCTTGACCATTCAATTTCCGTCAGTTTGGGGGCTGCTTATCTATGATTTCAGTAGGTAAATTCTTAGGAGAAGAATTGCCAGTTCAAAGAGGATAAGCATCTTATTTTGTCCCTGTTACTATACTGTTTCCTTGTTCATGAAAGCAAACAGCATTATAACTGCTTCAAATTCAAAACAGGTGGCTTTAGGGCACCTAAAAAAGAGAAATGTTTCTTCCTTCTCTCTTGCTTTCTGTATACAGTTGACCCTCGCACAATGTGGGGGTGGGGCACGGATCCTCCACGCAGTGGAAAATCAGAGTATAACTTTTGACTCTCCCAAAACCTAACTACTAATAGCCAGCTGTACTAGAAGCCTTACTGATAACATGAACAGTCAACTGACACGTATTTTGTATGTTCTCTGTATTATAGGCTATAATCTTATAACTAAGTAAACTAGAGGGAAATGTTATTAAGAAATTCATAAGGAAGAGAAAATACATTTACAGCTCTGTCCTGTAAAAAAAAAAAAACTGCATGTAAGTGGATCTGTGCAATTCACACCCATGTTTTCATGGGTCAGCTGTACCTCTAGCTGTCTGCCTGTCTACCTAGCTGAAAAATTCTCATGCTGCTTATTATTCCAAGTAAATCTTTTTTTAAAAAAATTTTTATTTATTTATCTGAGAGAGAGAGAGAGCACAAGTAGGGGAGGGGGGGAGCTGCAGAGGGAGAGGGAGAAGCAAACTCCCAGCTGAGCAGGGAATCCAACATGGGGTTTGATCCCAGGACTCTGGGATCATAACCTGAGCTGAAGTCAGATGCTTCACTGACTGAGCCATCCAGGCACCCTTCCAAGTTAATCTTTTAAGGTTAAAATTATACATAGACTCAGAAACCATTCAAATAAATTACTTCTCAAATTCCCTTTTACCTAAGTCACAAGCACACCAATGTTTATAGCAGCAATGTCCACAATTGCCAAAATATGGGAAGAGCCCAGATGTCCGTGGACAGATGAATGATAAAAGAAGATGTGGTATATAGATACACAATGGAATATTACTCAGCCATCAAAAATAATGAAATCTTGCCATTTGCAATGATGTGGATGGAACTAGAGGATATTATGCTAAGTGAAATAAGTCAGTCAGAGGAAGACAAATACCATATGATTTCCCTCATATGTGGAAATTAAGAAACAAAACAGATGAACATAGGGGAAGGGAAGAAAAAATAAAATAAGATGAAAATAGAGAGGCAGGCAAACCATAAGAGACACTGAACTCTAGGAAACAAATTGAGGGTTGCTGGGCGGGGAAAGAGTAATTGGGTGATGGGCATTAAGGAGGGCACTTAATATAATGACACTGGTGTTAAATGCAACTGATGAATCACTAAATTCTACACCTGAAATTAATAATACAGTATATGTTAACTAAATTGAATTTAAATAAAAAATTTAAAAAAATTTCTTTTTACCTTGGTCCTATCTATATAGATTTTGATTCAGTAACTATAGGGCAGGTTCTGCGTAACTGTATGGTTCCTAAAGTTTTTATTTCTTTTCACTTTTTACTCACCTGAAGAAAAAGTCAAGCTCACACCATCACTTAGGGGCGAGCCCTGGGTTTGGCATCTGTACTCTCCAGAATCACGGACCTGGAGGGTGTTTCCTGGGATTTCACGTATTATTTCTGTTCCAAGGTACCACTGGTACAATTTTTTGTTCTCTGCTGCAGGGAAGTGAGATATGTGGCAAGTCAGAGTCACTGCCTCTCCTTCGAAAACGATGGTCCATGGAGGATGGAGGGAAATCACGGGTTTGGGTGCAGGTGCTGAGGAAGGAAGAGACAGAGTCTGAGATAGAGAACCTTGTGGTCCCCACCACAGTTGTATGTGTGGGACAGACCCAAGGACCAGGCTTTGGAGAATTCCCAAGGAAGCCATCTGGGAAGGTCAGTGATTGCTTAAGGCCAATTGTGGACCAGAGCCCCCAGGGGAGAATGGTTGCTCAGGGATGGCAATGAGCTAAATGATTTCAAGAAGGCAACACCAGCGGGATTCACTGCCAAATGCCAGTGGGAGAAATAGCTAGTTAGTCTGGTGTGGATCCTAGAGAAACCCATCCCTGCCCCACATGGGATATTGGTTTATTGTGTTCACAAACTCATAAGAACCTCCAAAGGAATTGTGTAAATAACAGGTTTGTACTTTCCTAAAAGGATAAATCATATTTTCTGAAGGTTTTGGCACTGAGTAAAGCTTGAGAGATTAACTTTTTTAACACCTTCATTTCACAGATGATTCAGATGCCCAGAAACTCTCATCATAGCTAATTGTGGCAGAGCAAGGAATGGACAAGTCATTTGCTGGAATCCAGAGGTGACCCAGACAAGGAAGAAATCCCGGGTCAGCTGGTTCTGGACAAGGAGAGAGGATGTAGATCTTCCTTGCTATTTATGGGCCACTCTCTGACCCAGGAGAATGGCAATAAGAGTCAGAACTAAGAACATGTGTGATACAGATAATACATCTTCTCCCCCGCTCTCTTCTTTTTTGCATTTCTTCCTTTAAAGGCCCCAATTTTTGGATGTTCTTCTATTCTCCACACATTTCCTGGAGGATTTTACTTCTAAAACTATAGAGGATGTAATATTCCTGCTGATATCTTCACAGTGTGATGTTATCAGAGAAGTTTTTCTGGCTTGCTGATTGGAGAAAACCCTATCCCAAGTCCTGCATGTTTACCATGGAGTTGAAGATGTCCTGCCTGGTCAAGTGGGGTCCATTGGCGATAGGGGTAAGTGCAGGGCCTACCAAAGGCCAGGAGCTGCTTGTGCATTTGTCCGTTCTTCCAGGGAGAGTCAAAGGGTAGCCACATGGCTATCTTAGCCATTGGGTGATGCCAATAGACCACGTAACACTTTCACATCCCTTCTGGTCTCAGCAAGAACAGGAGATATTAGAGATCCTCTGATAGCCATTGCAAATGCCTCATATTTATTAGGGAGACACTCTTATCCAGAGACACTGAAGAGCAAAAGAATGGAGAACTCACCAAATTGTCCACTGACAGGAGCTGCAAAAAAAAAAAAAAAAAAAAAAAAAGAGCTAGAGATGAATACAGAGCAAGGATTCTTTGGCTTTTCAAAAGTAATGCCTGTTATTTTCTATCCATTTATTATTTCTTTCATTAGAAATTCATATTTAAAAAATTTAATTGACATTTGTCAAATGTCTCTGTATATCCTAGTCATTGTACTTGGACTTCTAAGATGAACAAAAAATGGTGCCTGCTGGTAAGAAGTTGACAGAAGGTGGAAGCAGAAACATGAAGCAAAATTATATAATTATAATATAGAATGTAAGTGCAATAGAAGTACACATAGGGCACTTTGTGGGCAGAAGGACCACCCCTGCCAGTGTGTGAGGTGTGTGTGAGTGTATGGTGAGGAGGGTGGGCTATGACAGGTACCTGAAAGAGGGATGCTTGAGAAAACTGAATGAACACATAGGATTCAGCCAGGCAAAGGAGTCTGTGTATGACAAGAGGTGATGGAGAGGGTAATAGAGGCATAAAGGGCATAGAAGTGAAGAAACAGCATTGATGTTCAGGGGTTAAGGTGAAGTTCTGAAAGGTAGAGAATGAAGGGGAATCAGGTGAGAGAGGCATGTAGGGCTCATGTCATGGGTGGTAGGTAGCTATGGTTTTATTATAAAAGCTACAGTTTTATTATTATAACCAAGAGACATGGAAAGTCTTCAAGTAGAGAGTGACAAAGTTAGAATTTGAAACTTAGATGGAGCATTATGACAGTGGGTAAACGTCAGTGAGACCAGATGCGAAGCAGAGAGACTGATTAGAAGGCAGGACAAGAGATGATAATATTTAATTTTCTTCGGAGTGTTTACCCAAAATTATTTGCTTGTTTACTTTGTTTACTTTCCCTTCTCTGGAATAGAAGTTCTGTGAGAGCAGGAACTTCTTAAATTCATCATATGTCCCCCCCCCGCCCCCGTACCTATAACAGTGCTTGGCATATAAGAGATATTCCATAAATATTTATTGAATATTTATTTATTGAGTAACAAATTAAGTAACTAGGTCAATAAATAGAGATAGGAGGATACAGGCTTGAGAAACGGGTAATAGAAAGACAGAGGAGGAAAAATTGGCAAGTTTATAAATTGCTTAGACATTTCAGATGAGGGACAGATTTGGTTTATTCAACAGAAATTTTTGAAATGTCAGCTATATGCCAGGGACTGGATAGGACAAAGGAAATCCATCAGTAAGCAAGAGAGATATTGTCCCTCTCCACATGAGGATGAAGGAGAAGTAATCCAAACCTAAGTGTTTGATAGAGAACAATGGATTATTTGCCATTACCCAAATATCTTTGTCACCATGGAATTCATGTTGTTTTAAATGTAGCTAAAACTTTTCTGAATGTTTCCGATGTGGTAGACTTTCACATATATTATTTCATGTAATCTTGTTAATACCCCTATGAAGTAAGTTCTATGATTATCTCCATTTACAGGCCATAAACTGGTCTAAGTAGCTAGTAGGCAGCAGAATGGAGTTTTGAACCATTTGTTTGAACACATCCTGTTTGGTCCCAAAGCATGTACTCCTGGCCGATCTTGCCCTTTTGTGTTGGTACCACACTGGGATGTGCTTCCTATTTCTGGAGTGTTTCATGCAGCTTCCATGGGGACTTTTTTCTTATATTGTGCCCCACTCCATCCCTGCCCCTTCCAGCTCCCACTCTCTGTTCCATGAAGTCATTACCAGCTACTTGGCATATAGTTTATTATTTACTTGCACCATAATTGGTACCTTTGGACAATTATTTAACTGGGATCTTGTTAGGTGGATGTTTCTTGTACACTAGGGACTGGCTGGAGGCCCTTTTATATCATGAGCTTCCTAAGCACAGAAATGCTGCCTCCTATGCTTTCCCATCATTCTCAACACCTAGCGCAATGCTGTACATAAATGTTACTAAAATTTTTGTTAAATAAATGAATAAATATATTTTATTCTAGTAATTTAAACTTTGGTAAAAACAAACCCATTTATATGTATGAATTAACAGAAACTGAAACACATCAACAGGTGCAATTAGAATGTCAAGTACCAGAAATGACAGGAATAGGAGGTCTACAACCTGTGTCTCCCACAGAAACACATATTTGGCAGCCATCCACAGATAAAAGTGGAGAGCTGTAAGACCCAGGTAGGAGATTGCAAAATCCCACTGGAACCAAAGACCAAGGAGGATCACTTTGAGAAGGCAGGCACATGCCCTGTAGAAAACTCACTGACTATGAGCCCATCTGCAGACCTAAAGCTACCTCATCTTCCTGTGGACTCAACTCTAGTCCAATTTGTCCATGGTCTTGCCTCTAGATCCCATTGCCAAGGGACCCAAGAGGAATCATCCACATCCATGCCCCAGTAGCAGGCCCACTGATCTCAGACCTGACTACTGTTGCTGAAGCAGTCCCGTGACCCAGCTCCAGTCCCACTTTACTGCAGTCTAGAGGTAGTGTTGGCCATCCAGGAATCAGCCTAACAACCCATTGGGAGAATACTCAGGGACCCAGGAGAAATCACACCCATTCATGCCCCTGGTAACAGGCTTGCCAACTGTGGACCCAACTGCAGACCTAGCAATGGCCACGAGATCCAGCTCCAGCCCTGCTCAACCATGATCCTAGAGGCAGTCCCATAAGTCCAGGGAAGCAGCAGATGGTATTTACCTGCCAAAACCAGTCTGTAAAGTTATCTGTTCTTCTAAATAAACAGACACCCATGAGAAGTTACACAAATCATGAAGAGTCAGGAAAATATGAAAACATCAATAGAAATTAATAAAGCTCCAGCAACTGACCCTAAAGAAAAGGGGATTCATGTACTGCTTGATAAATAATTCAAAATAATAGTCTTAAAGAAGCTCAGTGAGCTATAAGTGGACACAACTAAATGAAATCAGGAAAATAATACCTAAACAAAATGTGAATTTTAACAAAGAAATAGAAAACAAAAAAGACTCAAACAGAAATCTTGGGATTAAAGAATAAAATGACCAAACTGGAAAGTTCAATAGAGACCTTCAATAGCATAACTGATCATTCAGGAGAAAGAATAAGCAAACTTGAAGACAGAACATTTGAAATTATCCAGTTAGAAGAACAAAAAGAAAAGAAAGAATGACAATAAGTGAAAAATGCTTGAGTGACTTATGGAATAACAATAAGTGAATCAATATACATATTATTGAAGTCCCAGAAGAAGCTGGGAACACAGACAGAAAGATTATTTGAAGAAATAATGACAGAAAACTTCCCAAATCTGGGGAGGGAAATGTGTATCCAGATTCATGATCCCCAAAGAACCCCCAATACGCTGAACATCAAAGGTCTAAACCAAGACACATCATATTCGAATTCTCAAAAGTCAAAGACACGGAGAGTTTTGAAATCAGTAAAAGAAAAATGACTCATTAAGGAGTCTCATACAAAGAAACCCCCATAGGGCTTATAGTGGATTTCTTTAGCAATGTTATAGGCCAGGGTAGAGTGAGATGATATATTCAAAACACTGAAAGAAAAAAAAAAACCCTGCCAATCAAAATACTATATCCAGCGAAACAGCCCTTCAAAAATGAAGGAGAGTTAAATACTTTCCAAAACAAACAAAAGCTGAGGGAGTTAACCACCACTAGACCTGCCTTACAAGAAAAGCAAAAAGGAGTTCTTCAAGAACACCAAAGAAAGGACATTATTAAGAACATAAAAACACACAGAAGTATAAAACTCCCTGGTGAAGGTAAATGTGTTGTCAAATTCAGAATACTCTAAATACAGTATCTTAGTCCATTCATTCTGCTATGACAAAAATACCATAGTGAGTGGCTTATGAACAACAGAAATTTATTTCTCACAGTTCTGGAAGCTGGAAACTCCAATATTAAGGCACAAGCCCGATTCCTTTCTGGTGAGGGCCTATTTCATCATAGACAGCCATCTTCTGATGTAACAAGGCAGAAGGGTGAGAGAGCTCTCTCTGGCCTCTTTTATAAGGGTACTAATCTCATTAATGAGGGCTTTGCCCTAAAGACTTAATCACTTTCCAAAGCCCCACCATCTCCTAATACTACCACCTGACAGGTCAGAATTTTTTTTTTTTTAAAGATTTTATTTATTTATTTGAGAGAGAGAGAATGAGAGAGAGAGAGCACACGAGAGGGGGGAGGGTCAGAGGGAGAAGCAGACTCCCTGCCGAGCAGGGAGCCCGATGCAGGACTCGATCCAGGGACTCCAGGATCATGACCTGAGTCGAAGGCAGTCGCTTAACCAACTGAGCCACCCAGGCGCCCAGGTCAGAATTTTAACATGAATTTTGGGGGGCACAGACCATAGCATACTGTATGGTGATATATAATCACTTTTAACTGTTGTATAAGTTAAAAAAGACAAAACCATTAAAAATAACTATAGCTACAATAATTTGTTAATGTATACACAATATAAAAATATGTAGATTGTGACATTAATAACAAAATGTGGGGAAGGAGAAGTAAAAGTGTAGAGTTTTTATACATGATTGAAATAAATTTCCTAGCTCAAATTGACTGTTATAACCAGTTTTATATAAGCCTCATGGTAATCACAAAGGGAAAAAAAAACTATAGTAGATACACAACAGATAAAAAGAGAGCAATCAAAGCACACCACTAGAAAAAATCATCAAATCACAAAGGAAGACAATAGGAGAGGAAGAAAGAAAAAAAAGGAACTGCAAAATAGTCAGAAAACAACGAAAAAATGACAATAGTAGTCCTTACCTATAAATAACTACTTTTTAATTTAAAAGGATTAAATTTTCCAATAAAAAACACAGAGTAGCTGAATGAATAAAAATAATACAACTATATGCTACCTACAAGAGTTTCATTTTAGATTTAAAGGGCACACATAGGCTCAAAGTAAAAGGATGGAAAACATATTCCATGCATATGGTAACCAAAAGAGAGCAAGAATGACTCTACTTTTATCAGACAAAATAGA